AAAAATATTTAATACTTAATATGCAAAAAGGAAATCAACTTCTTGGGAACAGACTCGTTCTGCTGGTCTGGAATTAGAGTTGGCACAAGCTCTTCTTCCTGAATGTCTTGTCTGCTTGTGTAAGCTCCATTTCTCTCTCCCATTGAACTTGATTTCAAGCTCTCACTTGTCTTTAAATGGATGGATCTCAAAATAGACTTCCATAAGAAACACTACCTTACTATTATGCATCACACATGTTCTAAGAGATAGCTATTATATCTAGATATCATATTGTCCTTTTGGCTTAATCTGTTGAATTATAGTTTTTATAAGGCTAGTAAAAACAGGCACAAAGTTTGGTTGACAGGCCTGGTATTTGTGCAGAGGAGGTAGAGTTTTTGTAAGAACACTTCTTTATGGTTCCTGTTTGTAAGCCTGCAGATAACAAAGTGAGCGTTATTAAGTCACATTCTATATATAAAATAATTGCTTTTAATAATATGCATGAAAGCTGGGCACCAGTGGCTCATGCCTGTGGTCCTAGCTACTCAGAAAGCTAAGATCTGAGAATCATCATTCAAAACCAACCCAGGCAGGCAATGCATTCATGAGACTTGTATCTTCATTTAACCAGCAGAGAGCTAGAAATGGAACTGTGGCTCAAGTGGTAGAGCACCAATCTTGAGCAAAAAAGCTAAGGGACAGCACCCAGGCTCCAGGTTCAAACCCCAATACTGGCACCCCCCCCCAAAAAAAAAAAAAAACTATGCATTAGCCAGGCTCATGCCTGTAATCCTAACCACTCGGTTGAGATCTGAGGATCATGGTTAAGAACTGGCCTGGGGTGGCGCTGTAGCTCAAGTGGTAGAGCGCTCGCCTTGAGCTGAAGAGCTGAGGGACAGCACCCAGGCCCAGAGTTCAAGCTCCATGACCGACCAAAAAAAAAAAAAAAAAGAACTGGCCTGGGCAGACAAATCCAAGAGACCCTGATCTGTAGCTAATTAGCAAAAAGCCAGAAGGGGAGATGTGGCTCAAGTGGTACTGCATCCACCTTGATTGAAAAAGCTAAGCGAAAGTGTGAGATCCTGAACTCAAACCCCACTACTGGCATTGCTGAGTTAAAAGTTCCTTTTGTGGTTGCTTTCATCGCCATTCTTTGCAGCAGTCTGAAGTATGGTTGGAATTTCATTTTTGCCTGTGTCCTGTGATTGAGTTAATGAAGGGTGTAGCTTTTCTATTTATTTATTTATTTATTCTATGTGTTTTAAAAGGACTGTGAGACAACTACTTACTATTCACAAATGAGTGGTCATTTTAAGAATTTCTTATTTGGAGCCATTATCACCATTAATAACATCCTGGCACAAAATCTCATTTGTTGTTTTAGGCAATCCCATCCCCCTCACCCCCAAAAAAACCCCTCAGAATGAAAGTTATTTTTCTGTACTTAGGTAAGTCAGGTGCTGAGAGGAAAAGAGTTGTACTTTAAAGAGTAGTCAGTGTGACATTGTTTATTAGACTTATTCAAATAGTTGTGAATGTAATCATTTGACCTTGTCCTACTCCAAAAGAAAAAAAATAGAATATTCTAATTCTAGGCAGATTTTGAGATGTTAGTTAAATTGTTTTCTAATGATCCAAATAATACCTAATGACTTAGAAAACAGAATCATTTCCTGAGAGGGTAGGCAGTCTGTTATTGTGTGTTGAACAGCAGAGTGAAGTCTGGGCTAGATTTTGTCCTGTGATTCAGTTAACCACCAGAAGTGAAAGCTGGGTCTTACGTGGTAGAGCTCTAGCCTTGAGCACAAGAGCTCAGGGACAGTGCTCAGGCCCTGAGTTCAAGTGCCAGGACTGACAGGCACACACACAAAAGGACATTTGGTCTGAGCTTTATATCATCAACAAAACTTAGATTGTAGTTATATATACTCTTGTGACTGAAGGAGGACATTCTGAGAACTTCAGACTTCATTGTCATCTGCTTTGAGCTAGCCATCTATTAATGTTTAACGTACTTTGGAAATAAAGAAAAAAATTGATAAATGTGGCTAAGAGGACAAGCATGTTGTACAGAGAAGTGGAGATATTTAAAATACAAAAGACTTCAAAGAAATTCAGATAGATGGCTGGGAAGGTGGCTCAGTGGTAGAGTGCTTGCCTTGCACTCATGAGGCCCTGGATTTGATTCCTCAGCACCACGGAAGCAGAAAAAGCCAGAAGTGGTGCTGTGGCTCAAGTGGTAGAGCACTAGCCTTGAGCTCAAGAGCTCAGGGACAGCGCCCAGGCCCAGAGTTCAGGCCCCACGACTGACAAAAATAAAAATTCAGGTAGACAACAGAAATACCACAGGTGAGAATATATCTGGTAAACAAGGGCCATATCGTTATGATACTTGTATACTTAGCCAGGGGCCTTGAACTTTATTCTTAAACAGGAATCTGTTGAAGTATTGCTAAACAGGAGAATTGTGTAATGTTTTGTGCTGGAGAAGATCAGATTATTCTTTATGTGTGTGTGTATGTACTGATCCTGAGGCTTGAAATCAAGGCCTTGGCACTGTCCAGAGTTATTTTGCTCAAGGCTAGTGCTCTACCATCTGAGCCACACATCTGCTTTCAGCCTCCTGAGTAGACAGGATTACAGATGTCAGACACTAGGGCCTAGCTGTTCAGATTACTCTTGACAGCAGAATGGAAGATAGTTTGGATGCTGTCTGTATTTGATGGGGAGAAGATATTTCAAGAGGTACAACAGGTAACCCAGACAAGCAACAGGTGCTTAGCTAGAGGTTGTGGGCATACACACAGGAAGGCAGATTTGATTTAAAGATGTGAATCATGGCAGGTGAGGAACAGAACTATACAGCCAAAGTAGAAATAGGGAGAGGACTGCTGTGGAGGAAATAGTTCAGTGCTGGATGTGTGTATGTGCAGGTGTGCGCCCATACTGGGGCTTGAACTCAGAGCCAGAGCACTGTCCCTGAGCTCTTTTGCTCAAAGCTAGTGCTCTACCACTTGGGCCACAGCTCCACTTATGGCTTTTCTTTGGTAGTTAATTGGAGGTAAGAGTCTCTAGGACTTTGCTGCCTGGCCTGGGTTACAGGTGTAAGCCTCTGGTGTCAAGCTGAAGGTTTTTGTTTAACTTCTATAACTTCACTTGCTTTTTAAAATTATTAAAGGGGCTGGGAAGGTGGCTCAGTAGTAGAGCGCTTGCCTTGCATGCATGAGGCCCTGGGTTCGATTTCTCAGCACCACATAAGCAGAAAAAAGCCAGAAGTGGCACTGAGGCTCAAGTAGTAGAGCACTAGCCTTGAGCTGAAGAGCAGAGGGACAGTACCAAGGCCTATGACTTACATAAATAAGTAATAAATAAAATTATTAAAGTAAAACAAAAACCAGGGGTGGAATGGTTCCATGGAGAAGGGACTGTTTGGTCACGTCATGACTGCTTAATAAGCTTAAATGTATGCACATCACTAGCAAAAGTGCCAAGAAAAGGCTGTCTGGAAGAGAATGAGTGGTGGAGAAAAAACCAGCATTACAAGCTTTCTAGGAACTGACTGGAGCTAGGGCTCATGCTTATGGTTCTAGACACTTAGAAGGATGAGATCTAAGAATCATGATTCCAGGCCAGCGAGGGCAGGAAATTCTGAGAGACTCTTATCTCCAGCACCAACAAAGCTGGAAGTGACTCAAATGGTAGAGCACTAGCCTTCAGCAAATAGAGCTCATTGGGATTATTATCTGAATTTTGTGTTACAATCCTAAATTATTCTGCAGAGGAAAAAAGAATCTTGGTATGTCTCCAAATTAAAACCTGCGCAATCAAGACCCTACATCATTGTTTTATCTTCCGTTCGCATGGCAGCGTTACCATTCCTCCTGAATTTATTCCTAAAATGTGCTTTTGTTGTCATGATAAATGGCCTCTCTCTTCTCTTTGGGAGTTTGCACTGGTTTCAAAGCTCAACTAATCCCGATATCTGGCTTCTCATGAACAAATCCAGAAATCTGGCTGCAGCAGGCCCTGTCCCTCCACCGTGGAGACTGTGCGGGACCATCCGTCCCAGAAAATCACGCACTAGTCCCTTTGACCATGGTTGACTTTGACCCACTCCACATGATCTCCCACTTTCTTGGCCCCAAGGCTGCTAAGCACATGAGGGTTAGATGAGTTCCACATAGATGCTGACATTGCTCACCATTGTTGAGGCTGACCTCACCAGCTCTGGTCCTTTACTAACTTCTCTGAATGTCTGACTGGGCCTGCCTGGCCCGAGTGACTTAACAGATAGATCCTCACAGCCCTCTGCTCTTTTGTACCAGTGCCTTCAATCTTGTATATCAGAAACAAGTGCCAGATTCTGCCATGCCAGACCTGCCACAGCCTTGCCCATTCTGGCTACAGAGATGCATGCTCCCTATCTAACCAAAAGCCCAAGATCACCTCTCCTCCATTCTTAGGCATATACCAAATCTATGCTGTCCCAATTCTACAGGAAGGCCATTCAAAACAGATTAAGAATTTCTGAGCTACCACTGATATCTAGACATACTTTGACCACATGGATTGCAACACTGAGATTAAAATTCCTAATGAAGAATCATGACTTCAAGACAATTTCTATCATGTATGTGTGCCAATACTGGAGCTTGAATTCAGAGCCTGGGCACTGTTCCTGAGCTTTTGTGCTCAAGGCCAATGCTTGGAGCCACAGCTTCAATACTGGTTTTCTAGTAGTTGATTGGAGATAAGATTCTCTTGGATATTCTTGCCCAGCTTGGCTTTGAATCGTGATATTTAGCTCTCAGCCTCCTGAGTAGCTAGGATTACAGGCTTGAGCCACTGGCACCCAGCCACGTGCCTTTATGATTGTAGTCATGTCAGTTCTGAGCAGGCTTTGCTCTTGCACTCACACTCACTTGCTGCTTTTAAACATATTTTCTCCAATATTCACCAAGCATAGCCTTCTCACACATGCACTTGTTATATTTCTTTACTTGAGAGAAATAACCACATGTCTCCTTTTTCTAATCCTGTCATGAATCATCTTCCAATATTATCTCAGCAATCAGAATTTAGTGCTAGCCAGGCACCTGTGGCTCATACCTGTAATCCTACTGAGGGAGCTGAGATCTGAAGATTGAAGTTCAAAGCCAGCCCAGGCAAAAAAGCCAGCCCAGGCAAAAAAGTCTTAACACATATCTCCAATAAACCACTACACAGCCAGAAGTGGGGCTGTGGCTCAAGTGGTAGAGCACCAGCCTTGGGTAAAAAAGCTAAGAGACAATGCTCATAGTTCAAGCCCCACTACTGGCACAGGGAAAAATATTATAAGTTAATAAACTTAGAATACCTTGAGTTTATCATTAGTAAGTCATTATGGTTGATTAGATTTCTCAGTATATTGTTCTGTTACCTAAAGATCTGTGGAACCGGTAAGCTGTCATTAGTCATCTTTCCAGAGAGTTCACATTTGTGTTTTGTTCCAGTTGCTTCAGTGTTGTTAAGTTATTGTTGGCTATGGATGTGTTTTTTCTTTGGGGTTGGATTCTTTGTCTGCCTTTCTCTACTAAAAAAGAGAATATGTTGTCTTCCCATCCATCCATCTCTCCCTCCATGATGTGTGTCTGTTCCATTGACAGTTATTCAGTTTGGGTTCGTCACCTTATTTGTGGCCTCTTTTCCACTGGCTCCTCTGTTGGCTTTGGTGAACAATATACTGGAAATAAGAGTGGATGGGTGGAAGCTGACTACCCAGTTCAGACGCATGGTGCCAGCAAAAGCCCAAGACATCGGCGCATGGCAGCCCATCATGCAAGGAATAGCTATCCTGGCTGTGGTGACCAATGTAAGTAGACCGAGGCTTTTCAGTACAAAATGCATGAAGGCGTTTGCTAAGGATGCCAAGGCAGTATCAAATAAGCACTACAGCTGTTACCTGTTGTATAACTGGTATTCTTTTAAAAGTGTATTTTTTAATTGTTTATAATTATTTGTGACTTACTAGGTAAAGTCCTACTAAGGTACCATGGTTGCTTCTTTACTAGGAAATGACTTAAGAAGTACTAACTTTTTTTTTTTTTTTTTGGGTCCGGTCGTGGGGCCTGAACTCTGGGCCTGGGCACTGTCCTTCAGCTCTTCAGCTTAGGGTTAGCGCTCTACCACTTGAGCCACAGCGCCACTTCCGGCTTTTATCTTTTTGCTTATGTGGTGCTGAGGAATCAAACCCAGGGCCTCAGGCATGCAAGGCAAGCGCTCTGCCACTGAGCCACCTTCCCAGCCCAAGAAGTACTAACTCTTGTGTGTGTGTTGGTACTGGGGTTTGAACTTAGGGACATGATTCTGCCCCTTACCTTTTGCTCAGGGCAAGTGCTCTACCACTTGAGCCATAGCTCTACTTCTGGCTTTTTTATATTTTTTTAAAGTTATTAGAGATAAGGAGCCTCACACTTTTCTTCCCTGGCTGGCTTCAATCATGTCGCTAGGTTAGCAGACACAAGCCATCGAAGCCTGGCTACATCCACTATTTTACTGCCAGTCTCACTCCCAGCTTTCCTAATAATGACTTCCCAGGTTGAATTTCTTCAAACCATCCAAGTCCCCATCCTTTTCCCACGAGCTCCTGGAGAACGGAATTGAGTGGTACCTGAAGGCCAGCAGAGCTTTTGAGCCACTGGTACATCAGGTCATCTTGAGTCTGTGAGACTCATTTCTCCAGTGAATTACCAAAAAGCCAGAAGTAAGATGTGGCTCAAGTGGTACAGTGAAAACCTTGAGTAAAAAAATCTAAGGGAAGCATCCAGATAAGTAGTTTAAGCCCCAGTACGTACACACACACACACACACACCACCCCCCACCCCCAAATCACTCACTGTTTTTAGACTGTGGTTCTAGTTCTATGCTATAAAGCAAGCTATCTGGAACCCAGCTGTCAACCCCTTCCCCTAATCCCTCCACTTATTTGTTTTGCATTGCTACTCCTTGGAGTATCATACATTCATACCCAAAGCCAAATAATAGGGTATCTTAGGATCTTTTCTCCCACGCAGATCATAGCTCCAATTGCCACTGTATTCAGAATGAAGGCTATTGTTCAAGGTCTTTCAAATTCCATATTCCTAAAAGAATCTGTCAGGCTTGAGCCTGGCATTCTAGCAACTCAGGAGGTTTGAAGCCAGTGTGGGCAGGAAAGGCAGGAAGATTCTTATCTCCAACTAAGTGCCAGAGAAAAGCTGGAAGTACAGTTGTGGCTCAAGTGATAGAACAGTAGCATTGAGCAAAAGAAGTGCAGGGACAGCACCCAGGGCCTGAGTACAAGCTCCAATAAATAAATAAATCTGTCATGTTCAAAATGCTAGAGTTAACTGAGTCAAGGCAGGAACACAAATTTGTATACTGAAGGAAAAATTTCAGCAGCAAAGTTTGAAACTAACAAGGTTGTTTTGTTTCATCTTTGACCAACAGCAAATTCAATTGACTCAAACTCCCCACCCCTAAAGCATTTTGCTTTGATTGAATTAGGTAGTTTTCCCCAGTATCCAGGTCACGGCTGCATTCCATTAGCACAAATGGAAGGGCTGGCTGTGTGTCCAAGGCCACTGTGTGTGTGTACCCAGATACATGTTGCCTCTACTGGTTCTTATTTAATAGTAGTTTGGTTTTTTCTTAGGAAAATTGCTGATTAGATTTGTCATTCATTAATCTGTGGACATCCTTATTTTCATCATTGTTAGGGTACAAATACAGTGTACATATATGCATACATGCATATGTTTGTAAATGTGTTTGCAAGCGTTACTATGTGTAAGCAAATGCCTTATGTGTATGAGTACAACCTCATGGCAACAAAGAAGAGAATAGGTACCAGGCCCGGAGAGTGGGCGTCCAATACGAGTTATAAAAACCATTCCTTGTAAAAGCTGCTGGTTCAGTAAATAAGCTGAATGGACAATGTTGTATCATGCCAGAGCACCTGCAATTGAAAACCAGTTTTATTTCTATATAAACGGAAAATTGTGTGCAGTGCAGCGTGGGAAACGCTTCTAGCACTGCACTCAAAGCCACTCAAATCAGGAGGAAAAGGCATCTTGTCAGACAACAATGGAATTATCTTATTGGAACTTTATGTGTACTAAGACTTAAACTCAGGTCCTGGGCTTTGCCTCTTAGCTTTTTCTTTGCTTATTGCTGGCACCATAGTACTTTGGCCACAGCTTTGGCTTAAAGTGGAGCTTCTCCTTTGTCCTTACCTCAAACCTCTTTCACTTTTTGGAGGGTTCAAAGCCCCAAGTAAAGAATTTTAGAGAGTTGCATAGAACTCATACTGGCCTTCCATCTTAAGAGGTCTTCTGCCTGATATAGATACAGGTTTGTGATTGACTTATGCATTTTTCTTTTGTATAGGAACATATTAAACTCTCTCTGTTATTCAACCATCAGTGACTTCCATAGTGTTTTAAAGTTTAATCTTTGGGAAGCTTGGAGGCCTAGACACTAGATCTAATAAAGATGATATCATCACTTGGCATTGTGGATGCAGCAGCCCTAATGTTCTCTAATGAAGCAGCAAGTAAATACTGAGCATTTACAACACATCAAGTCACGGGTTGACTTGTCTAAACAAGTCAAGAGTCTGTGGGGCTTGGGAAAATTAGAAGGCCATCATTGTAATTTAGATCAAGAAAAATTTCATTCAGTGTATATTGTTTTCATGAGACGACTGAAAAACAGTTGTTGGGTTTTTATGTGTGTATAGGTGTGGGCCAGTCCTGGGTCTCAAACTCATCTTGCAATCTCCTTTGGCTAGTATTAGTGCTAGGCTAGTGCTCTTCAACTTCAACCATACCTCCACTTTCAGCTTTTTCCTGGTTAACTGAAGAGTCTCATGGACTTTTTTGCACAGGCTGGCTTTGAACCATAATCCTCAGATCTCAGTCTCCTGGGTATCTAGCATTAGATAAGCCACCAGCCAAAAAACAGTATTATGCCAATTCTTCAAAGTAATTTTTACAGCCAAATTGTTCTCATAATGTTGATGTTAGTGTTCTATCTACAAACATTCTAAATCATGGAAGGCCAAAATTTTATCAAGGTAGAACATTCAGTCAGCCCTAGAAATGTAACTTACTGAAAAATATTTGCTTACATATACTTTATGCAAGCTACTCTTCAGTTATCATTATCATAGTTTACAATTATTCTGAATAAATGGTGCTTGTGTTTTAAAAGAGTAAATATCAGATCTTTGCATTTAAAAACTGTAGGCCTTTCTCTAGAATTGTAGCCCAAAGAAAGGAATATATAATATTAATAATAATAATACTTTACCATTGTGGATCAAGCTGGGTGCCAGTAGCTCCTACCTGTAATCCTAGCTCCTCATAAAGGAGAAAGTCTGAGGATCAAGGTTCAAAGCTAACCCAGGCCAAAAAAAAAAGTCCGTGAGGCTCTTCTCTAATTAAAAACCAAAAAGCCAGATGTGGAGCTGTGGCTTAAATGACAAAGTCCTAGCTTTGAGAAGAAATTCAAACAAGATCATGAGGCCCTGAGTTCAAGCCCCCATTACCAACACATGTATGCACACACACGCGCACGCGCACACACACACACACACACACTCAAATTCTGCTCCAAAATTGTATGGCGTTCCCTATTTATATATATTTTGTATGTAAGAAAAATATTTGGGTCTGAGGTTTTGTTTTTTTCTGAGTCAGATTGATGGAGACAGTAATTTTGACATGCTAATTAACCCTAGTTATACAAGTTGTACTGCTTTCCTCCCGATGTAGGCCATGATCATCGCTTTCACGTCAGACATGATCCCCCGCCTGGTCTATTACTGGTCCTTCTCTGTCCCTCCCTATGGGGACCACACGCAACACACCATGGAGGGCTACATCAATAACACCCTCTCCATCTTCAATGTTATGGACTTCAAAAGCAAAGCGAAGGACAATCCGTATGTTGGGCTTGGCAACTATACCACGTGCAGGCAAGTTCTGTGCTAACTGTTTAAGAGTGAACTTCCTCGGGAAAAACTGTTGTGATGTCATTCTCTCTGGTATTATTTAAGTCAGACTGCTAGAAACCGTTTTTCCTCATGACTTTTTTTTTCCCATAAAGCTGTGTGAGGGTGCCTTATGCCTATAATCCTAATTACTCAGGAGGTTGAAATCTGAGGATCACAGTTTAAAGGCAGCTTGAATAGGAAAATTAGTGAGACTTTTACCTCCAATTAAGCACCAAAAAGGCAGAGGGGAGCTCTAGCTCCAGTCATAGAGCTCCAGCTGAACAACAGCACTTAGAACCTGAGTTCAAGCCTCAGTGCCAGCACTGAGAAAAATGGTAAGATGTTAAAGTTAATAAAGACTACAGTTGTGCAGGGTACTGGTGGCTCACGCCTATAATTCTAGCTACTCAGAAGGCAGAGATCTGACAATCATGGTTCCAAGCCAGCCCAGACAGGAAAGTCGTTTGTAAGACTCTTCAATGAACTGCCAGAAAACCAGGAGCCGTGGCTCAAAGTGGTAGAGTCCTAGCCTTGAGCAAAAAAGCCCAGGGACAACACCTAGGCCCCATGCCAACCAAAAATTTAAAAAAATAGCTACAGTTATGATTTGTAAAGCCATCTATAAAATGGTTACAGAGAGATGGATCCAAGAGAAAAGTCTATGACATCTTAAAAGCAGAACCTTTATGAGTTCTAGAAACCAAAATAATTTACATCATTAACAAAATAGGACTATTCTCTTAAAGAGTCTTAAAGAACTGGCTCAGCCCTATAATCCTAGCTACTCAGGAGGTTGAGATCTAAGGATCGCAGTTCAAAGCCAGCCCTGGCAAAGAAATCCATGAGATTCTTATCTCCCAGAAAAAGCTAAAAGTGGTACTGTGCTAGCCTTGAGCACACAAAGACTCAGGGACAGCACCTAGGCCCAGAGTTGTAGCCCCAGGACCAGCAAAAAAAAAAAAAAAAAGTATCTTAAAGATTTCAGCATTGGTGTTAATGGCTGGTAAGATCAACTATGGATGGTATGCACCAATTCAGTTACCCATCAATAGTTCGTTAACCATTTTGGTCATAGAATTGTTTGTTTTGTTTTTTTTCCCCCAATCATAATTTTTAAAGGAGGCTTCACAATTTTTTTCAGTCTGATTCTTCACCTCCTTCATTGATTCAGTTTCTCAATAGCCACAATGAAGAAAGCACAAATAAGCCCAAAATAAATGGGTCTGAAGTACTGTTAACTTGAAAAAATGCTACCTGAACCTGCTTACTCTTGCTTTAAGTAATCCTTGTAAGTCTTGTGGATTCTAGGCAGGACATTAACAACACAGCGCTAAGAAATGATGAGCATAGACAGATCCTGTAGGGAGACATGGTCTCCTGGATGTGTCTACCCTAAGGATGTTGGGACATAAATCCAGGTGTGGCTCAAGTGAAACCCCAGAGCTGGCTAAGAAAATGTGCAAGGCCTCAAATAGGCTAAATTGTTTTACATCTTTAGGAAAGAAAAAGTCCTCCTCCCACATAAAAAGATCAGAGATGGATTCTTTATCATACAGAGTCCATCTGTAATGTCAGTTTCTGAGTACATGTCTACCAACCTATTATTGGAGTACTTTTTAAGAGTTTTGTTGCTACATCAAGCTTTACAAGGAAATCTAATTTACAAGACTGCCTCAGAGATCACTTTTTAAAAAGTTGAAGCGCGGTGCCAGTAGCTCACACCTATAATCCCAACTACTAAGGAGGCTGAGATCTGAGGCTCACAATTCAAAGCCAGCCAGGGCAGGAAAGTCCAAGAAACTCATCTCCATAAGCCAGTAGAAAAAAACAAAAAAAACGGAAGTGGTACTGTGGTTCCAGTGGTAGAGCGCTAGTCTTGAGCTGAAGAGCTGAGGGACAGCACCCAGGCCCAGAGTTCAGGCCCCACAACTGACCACCCCCCTCAAAAAAAAAAAGTTGAACTGTATTTTTAGTATTTCACCAAAAAGACTTTTCTCCCAGTATTTGTGTGTGTGTGTGTGTGTGTGTGCGTGCGTGCATGCACACGTGCCAGTACTGGGACTCAGGATCTTAACAGTGTAGGATCTTAACAGAGTCCCTTTGCTTTCTGCTCAAGGCTGGGCTCTACCAATTTGAGCCACACCTTCACCTCTGATTCTTGGTGATTAATTGAAGACTTTCTCATTGGCTTGCTGCCCAGGCTGGTTTCAAACTGTGATCCTCAGATCTCACCCTTCTCAGTAGCTAGGATTTCAGGAGTTAGCCACCAGTGCCCAGCTTATTCTTATTTGTGTGTATGACTTGTCCAAAGTAAGACATGTTATTTGCTATTTCTATGCATGAATTTAATGTACTTTGATTATATTTACCCCTCTATTACTCTTTACCTGCCAGCTCCTTTATCTTTCTCACAATTTTATATTTTATTACTAATGCTATATTACCTTTGCAGTAGTCGTGTTTAAACTCAGTGCCTTGAGCTTGCTAGACAACTGCCTTATTACTTGAACCACATCCCCTGGCCCTTTTTGTTGCTTTATTTTTTCAGGAAGAATCTTGCCTTTTATACCCAGCTCAACCTAGAATACACTCTTCCTACCTACCACCTCCCACTGTGAAAAACTACAAACCACCATGCGCACTGAGTAGCTGAGATCACAGTCATGAGCCAGTGGCTTCTTGAAAAGTTTTAAATGGGTTTATGAGTTTTTCATACATGCATACAAAGTACTTCGATGTATACTCACCCTAACTCCCTTCTCTGTGGATCTTTAAGATCTAGAGTCTGCATGTGGGAGGAATCATGCAATATTTGTCTTTTTGAGTGGTGTGCCTCTGTTGTGTTTCCAGGTACCGAGACTTCCGAAATCCACCTGGTCACCCGCAGGAGTATAAACACAACATCTACTACTGGCACGTGATCGCTGCCAAACTAGCGTTCATCATCGTCATGGAGGTGAGACATGGAAACAGTGTATAAAGGGAAAACTCAAATGGTGGAATTCCTTAGACGAAATCAGAGAAGGAGAGGAAAATATAGTCAAAACATCAATACATTTCCTACAAAATTAGGAAAAGTTAGTGAGGGAGAGATGGATTGGAAGGGTGAAAATGTTGAAAAGAATGATGTTGATCAAGACACATTGTATTCTTTAAAGGCTGCTTATTTACAGGTCTTCTAATTTGACTGCCAATTTGACTTAAAATGTATAATACTTTCCTTACTACTTGTGAATATAATGATTTTAAGCCACAAATTAATTAGGTTTGTCCTGTACACAACCATAATGCTCTAGGTAGAATTTGATCATATGCTTTATTTTCTTATGTGCCGGTCTGGGGCTGGAATTCAGGGTCTCACACCTCTTGCTTGGCTTTCCTGCTCCAGGCTGGTGTTTTACCACTTGAGCCACATCTCCATTTCTGTTGCTTAATTGGAGCCAAGAGCCTCAGGGACTTTTCTGCCTGGGCTGGCTTTGAATTACAATCCTCAGATCTCAGCCTCCCCTGCTACTAGGATTATAGGGTGAGCCAGTGGCACTCTGCTTTGGTTGTGAGCTATAAAAGTACAAAAGGATGTTATCTTCAAGAAGAATTCATACATTTTAACTGAGTGCCCCTTGTTTAATTTGGAGCACTGAATGGTGAAAGGTTTAAGGAGAATGATGTTAGTGCCCTCTGCCCACAGGAAACTTTTATAGGCATAAGAGTTTTATTCATAGTGTTACTCAATTATTGTACTTTCATAATTCATCAACTTCTTAAATTAGTTATTATGGTCCCTAAAATTAACTAGCTCTGAAAAATAAATGACTCTGGCAGCTATCAGTGGGCTCTTGATCTAGCTCATTTCAGAATGAGCATTACCCAATCACAAAATTCTTAAAATTTGTGGTGTGAAAAAGTATATCAACCCTTATTTTGAAACTACCAATGGATGCGGTGAAGCTACTTTCGCAGCAGGTTTTCTGTCTCTTGTAGCTAACATTGAAACGTCGATCAAATTCTGAGGCTTCCTAATTTGATTGAACAAAAATCAAAGAATAATAAGATGGGAAATGGAGGAAAGGACGTTTTTCCATAATAGATGCGAGACCTCAAGTCAGGGGCCAGAAAGCGTGAGAGTGTATCAGGCAGAATCAATAACAAAGAAATGCTCACTTAAACAGCAAAGTGGGGGGGAGGTTGGGAAGGGATGAGAAGGGTAAACAAAGGAGGAGGCTGCAATGCTTGGTAAGAAATGTACGCATTATCCTGCCCATGCAATTGTAACCCTTCTGTGCAGTATGTTCACAAATAAAATAAAATTTAAATTAAAAAAAAAAAACAGCAAAGTGCAGCAGGGCAACCATGTGGTTGGTTATCAGGGAGAGAAAAGAGTGCCCAAGAAAACTAAAAGGAGGAGAGACTTTATAATAGCAGAAAGAACCAATGAGTAGGCTCATGTCTAAAGGAATCACAGCAAAACTTGAAAGATACTTGGAAAACTGCTACTGAAATATAAACACCAGACCATAATGGTTTTTGTTTTTGGTGGAAGGAGGGGAGAGGAAGGGTTTGTTTGTACCAGTACTAGGGCTTGAACTCAGGGCCTGAGCACTGTCCCTGAACTTTTTCACTTTGACTTTTGAGCTATAGTCCCATTTCTGGTTTTTTGGTGACTAAGTGGAGATAACAATCTCACAGACTTTCCTACACAGTCTGGCTTGGAACTGCAATCCTCAGGTCTCAGCCTCCTGAGTAGCTAGGATTATAGGTATGAGCCACTGGCCCCTGACTGGAAAACACTTATTTTTTTAAGCCAGTCTAGAGAAGCAAAGAAGATCACTCTATAATGATAGAGGAGTTAGTCTCGCTAGAGGAAATAATTATATACATGCACCCAATGCTGGATCATCTAATATATTCAGCAAATTAGTAAATCTAAAGAGAGAGCCAAGCTTCAGTACAGTAGCAATGGGAATACTTATCACCCACTTGCAGCCGTGAATAAACCACCTAGACAGAACAAGCAACACAGAGACGGCAGAGTTTGATTTCACCTAGGACCAAATGAGCCTAATTGACTCTCCTGCTGCTGGGTGGAGTGTTGTGGATGCCATCTTTGTCTCAAGGGTACATGGAACTTGTTCTCCAGGAGAGACCAGATGGTAGGCCACAAAACAAGTCTCCACAAGTCTCCTTTCTGCAATAAAACTAGGATAGGAAAAGCATACCAGTACACGGAAATAGAGCAATGCACCTCAAATAACTAATGAACCCATGAAGAAATGAAGGGAATCTTGAAATATTTAAAGCTGGACACCTGTGGCTCATGCCTGTAATCCTAGCTACTCAGAAGGCTGAAATGTAAGGATCATGGTTTGCAGCCATTCCAGGCAGGAATTGATAAACACCAGAAGTAGCTCAAGTGGTAGAATGCCAGACCTGAGCAAAAATGCTGAGGGATAACACCTTGGCCCTGAGTTCAAGTCCTAGTTCCAGTGCATGCATGTGCATGCACACACGAACGCACACACACACACACACACACAATGTTCTATACAAATGATAATGTAAATAGCATACTAAAACCTATGGGAGATTGCAAAAGCAATCAGTACCTCCATCAAAATAGCAGAAAAATCCCCTTAAATGACCTATCATTGCACCTGAAAAAAAGTAGAGAAAAACATTTCTGTCCTGAGCTCAAACTGTAGCTCCAACTGCCTTCACCCTTTCTGCTTGGGTATTTATTGCATCGACATTCAAATCTGCTTCCCCAAAGTCCTACTTTTTCTTAAATCCAGTCCAAATTGGACGTCTCTTCCCTGCCTTGGTTATGGTGGCTTCTAGCTCACCAGTTGCTCAGGCCAGAATCCCTGGAGCCCTCCTTTCCCACACCCCATTTCCAGTGCAGTTTCAGGAGAAACTAACTTTTCCTTTGAAAATAGATCACTGGGACTGGGAAGATGGCTCAGTGGTACAGTGCTTGCCTCACATGCATGAGGCCCTGGGTTCTATTCCTCAGCATCACATAAGCAGAAAAAGTTGGAAGTAGCTTTGTGGCTCAAATGGTAGAGCACTAACCTTGAGCTGAAGAGCTCAGGAGCAGCACTTAGGCCCAGAGTTCAGGGTCCCCGACCAACAAAACAAAAACGAAAATATATCACTGACCACTTTCTATGAACTCTGCTGCGTTCACCAGGTATCAGTCCACTTGGTGTTACTGTAACAGAAAACCTGAGATCATTATGGCTCATGGTTTTAGAAGTTTCAGGCAACAGTCGATTGGCCCTGATGCAACTGGACCTGTAGTGAGGTCATACAGGAGCACATGGCAGAGGAAGATGCTCACCTGTTGCAGTCAGGGATGGGGCGGGGGGG